CGAATGGTGCTGAAAAAAAAGATCAAAAGATTGATTAAAAACTCGTATAGAAAAATCGAGATTTTTGAAAATTTGTTAATAAATACTCAAAAAATGCTTGTAAATAAATTTCGACGAGATGATTTGAATACCATGGCATATTAATGGTTCCGGATCAAGTTTTTCCAAAAATTCGGTTTGAAACTGAATTTTTTGTCACGAAAATTCTCGCTTTATCGTTCTGGAAAAATTGTTACAATGTTCTAAGTAAGCCAAAAATAACTTGTAAAAGTAAAAATTTACAAGGAAATATTTTTAGTTAATTTTCGAAAGATGCTCGAAAAATGGTCAAACAATTCACAAGAAAATTGGAGAATTTTAAAAAGTCGTTTTAAAATGGATTCGAAAAACATAGGTTCTTGATGGTCCTCGACCAAGATTTTCTAAAAATTCGGTTTGAAAATCAATTTCTTTTATATCCCGAAAATTGTGATTTTTGATTTTATCCAATGTGGAAAAATTTTTGGAATTTTCGACAAATCGAAATTTACAAGGAAATGTCCTTCGGGAATTTTCGAAGGGTGCCGAAAAAATGGTCAAAAAATTAAGAGGGATATTGAAAAATTGAAAATTTTAACCAAAAATCTTCAAAAAATTGTTGTAAATACATTTCAACGAGTTGATTCCAGGACCAGGATTTTCCAATAATTCGGTTTGAAATTGATTTTTTTTAAATATGGGAATAAATAAAATAACTATATATATACATGTCCAAATCTACAAGAAAATGTCTCTATGTAATTTTCGAAGGGTGCTCGAAGTACGGCAAAAAAATTATACTATTTTGATATTGAAAAACTGAAAAATTTGAAGATTTGTAAAAATTTTTTGTAAATACATCTCGGCGAGTTGATTCGAAAAACGGCTAGTAATTGTTCCGGATCAAGATTCTCCAAAAAATTGGTTACAAATATTTTGTTTAATACTCCTATTTCAAAAATGCTAATTTTTCATTTTATCGATTCTGGAAAATTTTTTGAAATTTTCGAAAAAATTAAACAAAAATTTCGTCGACATTTACACGAAACTTTAGGTAATTTTCGAAGAGTGAGGAAAAAAAGTCAAAAATGCATACGCTAGGATGTTAAAAATTTACCCAAAAATCGCCAAAAAAATATTTTTATAAAAATCGTCAAAATTAAAAAAATATATATATTTAGACGAGTTTATTCGAAAAAGGCAGCGTGTTGGCGCTTGCAGACCAAGATTTTTCCAAAAATTCAATTTGAAAGTGATTTTTTTTATATCTCGCAAATTGTCATTTTACATTTTATCGATTCTGGAAAAATTGTTGAAATTTTCGGCGAAATAAAGCGGACATAACTTCTAAAAGTCGAAATCTACAAGAAAATGTCTAAGTGATTTTCGAGAAGTGCTCGAAAAATGGTAAAAAACTTTATAGTACATAATTTTGATACTTAAAAATTGAAAATTTTGAAAAATTGCTCAAAAATTTTCAAAAAATTCATTCGATGAGTTAATTGAAAAGCATAGCATATTGGTTGTCCCAAACCAAGATTTTCAATAAACTGGATTTGAAAGTGATTTTTTTTTTATTTTAAAAATTGCTATTTTTCATTATAGAAGAAAATGGTAAAAGGAGGGGGATACTGGAAAATTCGAATTTTTGAAAACTGGCTTAAAAATCTGCTTAAAAAAATGTGGAAAATACTTTTCAACGAGCTGATTCAAAAAATATAACATGTTAATAGACCCAAACTAAGATTTTTCAAAAATTCGGTTTAGAAATTTAAGAATCTTCGGGATCACTTGTATTATCGTTTTGAAAGAGTTTGAAAGAATCTTCAAGGCTTTTTGTGTTTTGTTTCTAAAAAAGTCCGAAGGAATTGCAAGGTCTTCTAGTATATGAGTAAGGTTTTTTTAAACATGCAATAATATTGGACACTTACTTTTTTTAAGAACGGATAACCGTGGTGTTTAGATTTTGAAGAAATTTTACGAACTCATGTTTTTCAAATCATCTTGTCGAGATTTATGTGTCCAGATGCCATGGCTTAAAATGTCCCAGGAAAATATTAATGACTGCATGTTAATACCACAAAGTGTTAGGAAATGCACCTGTGCTTTTTCATCGTATAAGAAAAAAATCCCTAAAACTAACGGACATATGGCATTGAAATTGTAATCAATTTTTAGATTGATGATTCCTTTTTGGTGTTCTTTTACTTTGGTTACTCAGAATATTTACAAATACACACGACTTCTAAATGATCTTAGGGGTCCCTAGTCTGTTTTAATGTGAAAGAATTTTTAGGGTCCTAGTGTTGAAATCAGAAAAAACGACGTCCCATTGACTTGTTTTTGAAAAAATTTGAAAGCACGTTAGGGCCCCATAGCGTCTTATTTTTAAAGAATCTCAGAGAATCCTGGTGTTTTTTTTTAAAGAACATAAAAAAATCTTGAGGGTTCTTGATGTTGGGTTTTTGAAAGAATTAAAGAATTAAGAGAATGATCGGGATATCTTTGCTGGTTTTTGACTGACTGTGTAAGAATTTCAGGGGTCCCTAATGTCTTTTTGTTAAAGAAACGTGGAAAAAAATCGGAGACTCCTAGTGTTTAGTTTTTGAAGAATTTTTGGGACGCCTAGTGTTTTTTTTTTTCGAAAGACTTACAATTATTTTTGGAATTCATCTTGTTTTGTTTATGAAAGAGATTGAAAGAATCTTTAGGATCCCCAGTAACTTTTTTTAAAGAACTTGAGGGAATTTTTGGGATCCCCTGGGTTTTGTTTTCGGAATAGTCAGAAAGAATCTCAGGGACCTCTGGTGTCTTTTTTTTTGAGGAATATGAAAGACATTTGAAGGCGTCTGATGTTTGGTTTTTGAAAAAATTTTAGGGATTAACGTCTTTTTTTCGAAAAAATTAAAAATATGATTAGAGGCCTCTAATGCCTTTTAATTAAAGAGCGTGGAGAAATATCGGAGACTTCTGGTGTTTAGTTTTTGAAAGAGTTTGAAAGAATCTTAGGCGTCCCTTGTGATTTCTTTTTAAATAGTCAGAAAAATTCTCAGTGGCCTCTAGCGCCTTTTTTTGAAGAACCTGGAGTCCTGGCGTTGGGTTTTTGAAAGAATTTAAGGAACTCTTTTTTCGAAGGCTTAATTTTTCTATTTTTTTTTAAACAGAGAGTTTTCTTTCAACAACAGGATAGTTAAACATATTGTCAATTATAATAATTCTCTACAAGAAATGAACGTATGAAATATGTTCTTAAAAGGGTAGAATTTTCTAGAGAAATAATAATATGTTTTGGTGATTTGTTTTTGAAAGAGTTTCGAAGAAACTCCAGGGCCTCTTGTCTTTTATTTTTGAAAGTATCTGAAAAAATCTCAGGGACTTAGTGTTTTGATATTTGGTTTTTGAAAGAATTTTGACGACTCCTAGTGTTTTCGAAAGAATAAAAAAATGTTTAGAATTCTTTGTATCTGTTTTTGAAAAAGTCTGAAGGAATCTCAGCAGCCTCTAGTGTATTTTTGTTAGAATCATTGAGACATTTGTTGTTTAGCTTTTGAAAGCATTTTAGGGACTTCTAGTGAATGTTTTTCCAACGAATTAAAAGAATCCTTATGATCCCTTGTGTTTTGTTTTTGAAAGAGTTTGAAATATGTAATCTCCAGTGCCGTTTGAATTTTGTTTCTGAAAGATTTCGAAAGAATCTCAAGGGCCTGTAGTGTTTTTTTTTTTTAAAGAACATGAAAGTATCTCAGAGATCCCTAGTGTTTTCTTTAGGGAGTTTTAAAGAATATTAGGAACTGCTAGCGTCTTTTTTTTCCAAAGAATTAAAAGAACCTTTGAGATTCCTTGTGTTCTTGCTTCTGAATGAATCTGAAAGATTCTGTGTCTTTTTTAATGTATCTATTTCAAAAAGGACACTTGGAGTATCTAAGGTTCTTACAAACTCTTTTAAAAACCAAAGTGCTCCGAAGATTTTTTTCATTCTTTAGATAAAACAATAGAAGTCCCTAAGATTGTTTTTTAAATTTCACTTATTCTATCCAGAATTACTTCTTGACCAAAAAAAAAATCTTACAAGTAAGTGCACCGCAAAATTATAATTGATTTAAGTGTTTAGTTATAAATCCCACAATTACACTATTAGAGTTTTCTTCTTCTATTTTTCGGTACATCCTTTCAAATTGTTTTGATAGCTTGTAAGATTTTTTGTTTTCCATGTTTCCTCAAGGTTTACAGAGGAAATGTGAGCAAAAATTGTGGTGAAATTGGACAGCTTTGTTCGCAAAAATAATAAAACCCCGTTTGAATATTTGAGCAAAATCGAATACTGTTACTGTGTTTATTTTTTCCCCAACTTCAAAGGCATATTGCCGCTTTTTGCTAAAAAAATACAATCACAAACGTGTTTTATAAAAAAAATATTTCGTTTGAAAAAAGTAGAAATACGTGGGTACATGCGAACAATCTAACCCTTTTGTACATTGTTTAGCTTACTTAAGGGTTGTAAGTTTCAAGATTAGTTCCTTCCTCGGCTTTTTTGTCAAGAAATAAAAAAAGCAACGAAACATGCACTCACTTATTTAGCAGCAAACAACCCAAACATCGCAATAAACCCCGTTAGAATATTTAAACCTCCCTCTAAACAGTCTATTTTAAATGCAAACTCCCCTATTTATCGACCAATTTGCAAACTGTCTTTTTCCCGCGCCTTTTAATCCCTCCGCCGACGCTTTCAAGCTTTCGAGTCGTCCGTAAAATGCTTCTCTCGAAAAATCGTCAATCCTTTAACTAAACACCAACCCCCGACAATCGGGCTTCCAACCCCACGAAGATGCACAGCGTGTTGAAACCGACATGCATCGCGGCCTAATTCAACCCTTCGACATTCCTCCCCTATAAAGCTCGCATTTAACACAAAATCGATGCCGCTTCCAGAGATTTAAATTCTTCGAGGGTACTTGTTCTTTTAAATAGGAAAGCCGGCTTACATGTCGCATTTCTCGTAGATGTCCGTCCCCAGGGTGTAGTTGTTGTTGGAAAGCGTGGCGAAGGTGCCCGTCGGCAGCACGGTGATCCCGGCGATTAGCCACACTAGGGCGATGATGGAGGTGGCGAAGCTCTTGGAAATCCGCGGCTTCATGGGCCACATGATGATCATGTATCTGTCGATGCTGATGGCCACGAGGGTGTAAGCGCTGACGAAGACGGCGAGAGCCTGGAATGGAGAGAGGCGGTTAGGAGAGAGACGTGTGCTGGGGGTGGGTCGCATACATTAGTTATGTGTGACGGGGTTTTGGGGTTTTACGTCTGGGGGCGGCAAACGTGGTCTCTGAGATGACAACGCGACGCGGTTTTTTATTTTTGTGTGGGTACTCAGACATGGGGTTTAAAATGTTGCGAAGTTGGCACAACACCTAGTGGGGCTACAAACATGGCCAATTAGGGTGAAGTTGAAGGAAGAGGTCGCTGGGGGTAAGATGCTTAATTTAACTTAATTTAACTAAATTTAAGGAAATTAGTGAATGTCTGGTACTTTGACTGAAAAATCCATAAATTTGGAAACTCGAAAAAAATTTACTATATCGAACAATGGAAAAATGAAAAATAAAAAAAATGCAAAATTACAAAATTGGATAATAATTGTGAAATAGAAAAATTACAAAATTTAATTTATGAAGTTGATTTATCAAACTAGAAAAAAAAATTGAAAATTGAAATTTTGAAGACTTAAAAATCAAAAAATTGGAAAATCGGGACAATGACATTTGGATAATATTTGAAAAATCACAAGTGAAATAGTTGAAAAAATGAAAAATTTTAAAATCGAAGAATAGAAACTTAGAAAGTGAGAAATTGATTAATTAAAAACCGAATAGTTGAAACATTCAAAAACTGTGAAAATGTAAAATTGAAAAATCAAAAAAGTGTAAAATCTAAAAATTGAAAAGTCAGATACCTGTAAAACCGGATGAAACATAAAAAAATTGGAAAATCTGCTCATCGAAAATCAAACATTGAAAATCGATTCATTAAAACCCGGACAATTGAGAAACCAGAAAAAAAAAACGTAAAAATATAAAAGGGAAAAATCGAAAAATTGTAAAATTACAAAATTGAAAAATTAGATAGTAATTGTAAAATCGAAAAATTATTAAACTGTAAAACTGCAAAGTTATAAAATTGAAAATCGAATCATTTTTAAATCGAAAAATTTAAAAAACGGAAAATTGGAAAATCAAGTAATTCTAAAACAGAAAAATTACAAAATTTAATTTATGAACTTGAAAAATTGAAAATTGACATTCTAAAGACATAAAAATCAACGAAATTCGGTGGTTTGATAAAACAAAAATTGAGTCATTGAAAAAAACGAAAAATTTAAAGTCGAAGAATATAAAATATATATAGTTGGGATATCCAAAAATTGTGAAAATGTAAAATTGAAATATTAAGAAATTGAAAAATCGGATACCTTTAAAAACGAAAAATTATAAAATAATTAAACTGAAAAATCAAAAACTTAAAATATTAAAACCGAAATTTTGAATAATAGAAATCAAATAATTCAAAAATATGTATAACTATAAAATTTAAAATTTGGATAACGTAAAATCAAAATATTATTACACTCTGAAAATAAAAATTGTAAAATCTTAAAACTGAAAAATAGAATAATAGTAAAATTAAAAAATTGCAAAGTCGTAAAAGAAAAATATCATCATTAAGTTGAAAAATTAAAAAACAGAAAAATCTGATAACTGATGTAAAATCAAAAACTGAAAAATCTAAAAATTTTTAAATCGAAATCACTCCAAAATTTAAGTATGCAACTGAAAAATGAAAAATCGAAAAACTGGAAAATCTGATCATCGAAAAAGTAAACATTGAAAAAAATCAATTCATTAAAAACCGGAGAATTGAGAAACGGAAAAAACGTAAAAATATAAAAGTATAAAATCAAAAAATTGCAAAATTGAAAAATTGGATAGGAAAATCGGAAAATTATTAAACTGCAAAACCGAAAAAGCGCGAAAATTGCAAGTCGAATAATTTTTAAATCGAAAAATTTAAAAAACGAGAAATTGGAAAATCAAGTAGGTAATTCTAAAATAGAAAAAATTCAAAGTTTAATTTATCAACTTGGCTCAATGAAATTCGGTTATTTGAAAAGCCAAAAATTTAATAAATGAAGAACCGAAAAAGAAAAATTTTAAAAACGAAGAATATAAAATTTGAAATTGAGAAATTGATAAATTAAAAAGTGAATAGTTAGGACACCCAGAAATTGTAAAAAAGTTAAATTGAATAATTAAGAAAATGTAAAATCGAAAAATTTAAAAATCGAATACCTTTAAAATCTAAAAATGGTAAAAAAACTGAAATTTTGAATAGTAAGTCACATAATTGAAAAAAAATGTAAAATTACAAAATTGAAAATTTGGATAACGTAAAATCAAAATATTATTAAACTCTAAAAACTAAAAAACAAAAAAGACAAAATCGTAAAATTGGAATATCATTAAGTTGAAAAATCAAAAACAGAAAATCTGAAAATTTTGAAATCGAAAACACTAAAGTTTAAGTAACAACTGAAAAATGAAAAATCGAAAAACTGGAAAATCTTAGCATCGAAAAACAAACATGCAAACATTGAATTGAAAAACCGGAAAAAACGTAAAAAATGTAAATGTATTAAATCAAAAGATTGCAAAACTACAAAATTGAAAAATTGGATAGTAAAATCGGAAAATAATTAAACTAAAAAACCGAAAAATTGCAAAACTATAAAATTGAAAATCGATTAATCTTAAATCGAAAAATTTTAAAAACGAGAAATTGGAAAGTCAAGTAGGTAACTCTAAAATAGAAAAATTACAAAATTTAATATATGAACTTGGAAATTTTAAAATCAATGAAATTCGGTTATTTGAAAAATCAAAAATTGAATAATTGGCGAAACGAAAAATTTGAATAATGTGTATAAAATTGGATATTGAGAGATTGATTAATTAAAAACCAAATAGTTGGGATATTCAAAAATTGTAAAATGTAAAATTCAGAAATCAAGATAGTGTCCAAAACCGAAAAATTGAAAAATCGGATACCTTTAAAAACGAAAAATTGTAAAATAACTAAAGTGAAAAATCAAAAACTTGACATATTAAAACTGAAATTTTGAACAACAAAAATCAAAAAATTAAGAAATCGTGAAATTAAAAAACTGAAAATTTGCATGATCATTGTAAAATCGAAAATTTATTAAACTGTCACACTGAAAAATTGTAAACATATAAAATTGAAAATCAAATAATTTTAAAATCGAAAAATTTCAAAAACGAAAAATTGAAAAATCAGTTAATTGTAAAATAGAAAAATTAGAAAATTTAGTTTACGAACTTGAAAATTTGAAAATAAAAATTTTGAAGACGGATATTTGTAAAATTAAAAACTGAATAATTTAAAAAACATAATGTTTCAAAACGAAAACTAAAAAAAAAACGGAAATTAAAAAACTAATTAATTAATTGAAAACCCAAATGTTTAGACAGCCAAAAACCCTAAAAATGTAAAATTTCAAAATCCAAAAAATGTAAAATCGACAACTTGAAAAATTACAAAATTGAAAATTTGGATAATCCTTGTAAAATCGAAAAAATATTAAACTTTATAACAGAAAAATTTCAACAATATAAAATTGAAAAACGAACAATTTAAAAATCGAAAAATTTTAAAAATGAAAAATTGAAAAATCAGATAGTTGTAAAACAGAAAAATTACAAAATTTAATTTATTAACTTGAAACATCAAACAGAAAAATTAAAAATTGAAATTTTGAAATCTTAACAATCACTGAAATTCCGATATTTGAAAAGTCAAAAATTTAATAATTGAATAAACGAAAAATATTAAAACGAAAAGTATAAAATTGGAAATTTAGAAATTGATTATCTAATTAAAAACTCAATACTTGAGACAGATAAAAATTGTAAAAATTTAAATTTGAAAATTCAAGAAATTGTGAAATCGAAAATTTGAAAAACCTTTAAAAACGAAAAATGCTAAGATAATTAAACTGAAAAATCAAAAATTTGAAAAATTCAATTTGAAATTTTGAACAATAAAAAAATAAAAATTTTTGTAAAATTACAAAATTGAAACATTAGATAAGGTCAAATCGAAAAAAAACCCTAAAAAATATAACACTGAAAAATCTAAATATCGTAAAGTTACAAAATTGAAAAATGGGATAATTATTGTAAAATAGAAAAATTACAAAATTTAATTCATAAACTTGAAACATCGAATTTGAAAAATTGAAAATTGAAATTTTAAAGACTTAAAAATAAAAAAATCGAAATAATGAAATTCGGATATTTGAAAAATCGAAAACTGAATAATTGAAAAACGAAAAATTTTAAAATCGAAAAATATAAAATTGAAAATTGAGAAATTGATTAATTCAAAACCGAATGGTTGAGACATCCGAAAACTGTAAAAATGTAAAATTGAAAAATCAAAAAAGTGTAAAATCTAAAAATTGAAAAGTCAGATACCTTTAAAACGGAAAATTGTAACATCAATAAGTTTAAAAATTCAAAAATTGAAAAGTCTAATAACTGTAAAATCAAAAATTGAAAAATATAAAAATTTTGAAATCAAAAAAACTAAAATTCAAACATCAAGCAACTAAAAAATGAAAAATAAAAAATTGGAAAATCTGCTCATCGAAAACCAAACATTGAAATCAATTCATTGAAATCCGGAGAATTGAAAAATTGAAAAATAAAACGTAAAAAACATAAAAGTGAAAAATCAAAAAATTGCATAATTACAAAATTGAAAAATTGGATAGTAAATGCAAAATCGAAAAATTATTAAACTGTAAAACTGAAAAATTGCCAAACTATAAAATTGAAAATCGAATCATTTTTAAATCGAAAATTTAAAAAACGAAAAATTGAAAAATCAAGTAATTTTAAAATAGAAAAATTACAAAATTTAATTTATGAAAATGAAAAATTAAAAATTGACGTTTTGAAGACAACGACATTCCGTGGTTTGATAAAACAAAAATTAAGTCATTGAAAAAAACGAAAAATTTTAAAGTCGAAGAATATAAAATTGGAAATTGAGAAATTGATTCATTAAAAACCGAATAGTTGGGATATCCAAAAATTGTGAAAATGTAAAATTAAAATATCAAGAAAGTGTAAA